ATTTGGGATAATGTAAGTACACAAGTCAGCAAAATATATAACACTGTTCTAGTGGTTTTTGGATATTTTAATAAAAAAATCTTACATATTGTGCCTTTAACTGTATGTACAGGAAATCTGATGTTTTGAAGCGGATTTGATTGATAAGAATAGACTGTTTTTGGTATGACCTAAAATTATGACATTTGTTAACTGTAATATGACCATTACCATTACAGATATGTATTAAGTTATGATTTCTGTAGATACATAATGGAATGGTTTGATAACATGTATATAATCTAAATATATACAAATACTATACCGGTCTTAATGACCATTATCACATTTGCCTTCATTTATTTTTTTTTATTGGCAATTATTGCTTATGACATTGTGCTTGAAGAAAAAAATATGTACAGCTTCTAACAACTGAAAATAAATTATTCTAAAATTCTTTAATTTAGTCTTTGTGTTTTATGTGTCTAAAGACCATAAAGGGAATACATTTATTTATTGGTTAAGTGTACAACAAATGTGGAAATATGTAATATGCATGATTTATATATATATTTTTTGCTCTTAAAAATGTTGTAAATTAGTTCAGAACATTATTGGGTGCCAAATTTTTTTTTATTAAAACAGAGTATTTTGTTCTGGAAAACTGAAAAAAGTACCAATTCAATGTCCCCTTAATTAAACACCTTAAGAGTGCACACAGAACAGCATATGAACTCTCAATTATTTAACTGCAGTTATCAAAAACATTCTTTTAAAAATTCAATGCCTATTTCTACACCCCTTAGAGACGTTTAACCATGAATAAAACAGTTGTAAGCTTCCAGAAAATCAACCATTACAAAAAGAAAAAGCATCAACCATGTTTGCCATGGTTGCTGAGAAAACAAGGTTTTAAGTGCTATCTTTGGCCCTGGCTTAGCTGCAGAAATATTGAAATATACATTTTCTTTGAGTTAATTGAGAATGCAAATAGTTATGTAGAGATGGTACTGTACAAAAATAAATCTGTAGCAAAAAAACCCTAAAATGACAAAACACTGGTTCAGTAAAACAGGAATCATAGTGATTATAAGGTTTACAGTACAGTTTTCTTTCAAATAAAATTGTACACAAGAATTCACACATGAAAACTTACATTCATACAGTATGTACACAGGTAAAAAAAAAACGACCCCAGTTTCATATTTTTGTATTACTTGAAATATTTTGAAATACAATGTCAACATCCAAATATTATACACCGTAGTAACAAATCTGCTCAATTTTGTGCAACATTCTACCTAAAATCTTAAAATGATTACTTAAAATATTCATTATGAATTATGTAAGATACCATTAATAAAAGTATTCCAAAAATTCTCACTCAACACAAAACCTGGGGTTAAATGGATACCAAAGCATAGAATATGAAGTTACATAAATGACAACAGAAGTTTGATTTTTGGGTGCACTGTCCCTTTAAGGCCCTCGTTTAAGATCACAGTGGCACTGGGATTCACTTCAGTTCCAGGTGAAGCCAAGGCCTTGATTTGGTGCTTTTCTTGATTAGAGATGAACTGAAGTCATCAGGAAGTTCATTCTCCCTGAGCAGAACGGATGCTGAAAAAAATCCTTTGAATTTGTCCTCATCCAGGAGGAACTTCAATATGAATAGTCTTCTTCATGTTGGACTTCATGTTGTCCACTTTTCCTTGAGAAAGTATATCATTTATTGACTCGATCTTAACTGACATAAGAGTTAGTCCCAGACAGAGTCATCTGATGGTTTGG